AAAAAAATAAAATATTACTATAATACAATTTTACTCACCCTTGATCATTTTCTAAGATGAGGCTTATTAAAATTATCAACATTTTCTTATATTCCTGAAAAAGTAAGATATACTGAGATTTTAGAGTAGAAAAAGGTATCCCTTGCTTTAGAATCATAGCTGATGACAATATAACAACTGCTTAGGATAGAAAAATTAGAGCAATACTTGCATTATTACTGTCTAGATTATGGCCTTGATAGGGTAGAATAAAAATAAGAGTTAAAGTGGAAACAACCACTGCACAGCTGATAGGACTGGATGCTGAACTGCTTTGTAGTAGGTGAGATCTTGAAAGAGTATGATGATTATGTCAATTATAGTGTACAAGTCTAAGAGGATTAATGAATAGATGTTATTGGATCAAGCTGGCAGTAACTAATAGAAAGCAATGAAAATTATATAAAATACAGAGCTTTATTCTCTCACCAGAAGAAGAAGCCAGGATACAGGTGCTTAATGTTCTCTCATTATCTCACTGACTACAGGATTCACTGATGCCAGACAGCTTTTCTTGGACTTTTATCATTGCTGTAAAATGGTTCCTATAGTTCCATACACTGGGTAAGTATTAAAGGTAGGACACGGACTATAGCTCAACAGCACAAGTGCCTAACTGGCAAGTGTGAGTCCTGAGTTCAATTTCTGGTTCCAAAAATAGTTTAAGGGGCTGGAGAGATGGCTCAGTGGTCTAAAGCACCTACTTGGAACAAGTTTAGCAAAGCATCAGGGACCGCGGTTCAATCCCCCAGCACCACATGCCAGCCAGCCCCGCCCCCTGGTGGGCTGAGCTGGCCATACACACACCTCTCTCTCTCTCTCTCTCTCTCTCTCTCTCTCTCTCTCTCTCTCAAATAAATAAAAGAAATTAAAAAAAAAGAATTTTCAAAAAAAATAGTTTAAAATGTAATAAAAGGAAATGAGTAATAGTGTTTGCTTAATCTCCCTTATTGAAAAAAAAAAAAACAAAAACACAAAAACACATTCCTAGAAGTATCCTTTCTTCCTCTAGTCCTGCTGTAGTTTCTTCGTTATGTCTCCTGGCAAAAGAAATGCTGAGACAATAGTTAACTTTTTCCACTTCTAACAAAGGAGAATATGACTGGAAAGAAATGTTGAGTTATGCCAACAATATAATGTCTGACTTAGATCCTGACTTCTTTATATGGATATGCCTGAGATATATCCTGACTTCATACATGGAGTTAAAGAATCTGGTTTCAAATTCACTAAGAGACATTCAGATATCCACATGGAGGGGCTGACAAACTTTCTTTAGGACATAAATAGTAGGGGATGCCATACGACAGGCACTCTTCATGCTTTCACATCCAAGAGTACTGGGATGATGGATGCATTGCCAGTCTCCCTTTTTAATAAAAAAGGCATAGGCCATTAAGCATATAAAAATCTGTCCACTAATACTAATAAAAAATTAGCAAGCATTACAGAAATGAAAATTCAAACAACCTTGATTTTCACTTTGAAAGTAATCCTTTAAAATTATTATATTTTTAAATATTAATTTTATTGAGAAAAAAGTAGCAATGAGAGTTTCAAAACAGGCTACTAGGACAGTTTCAATAATTAATACATTGAATATTGTCATCTTCGTAGTAGTTATTTATAATACAAGATGCAGATATATCTTGTCTAAACACTATTAGTTCAAAACTTTCTTCTCATTGAACTAAGAGAAAGTAGATGTATATCTATGCTATTTTGTGTGTGTGTGTGTGTATATATATATATGTTCACTACAAAATGGTCCTTCATTTATATCCCCCTTTTTTGTTTACTTTTGTCAGAGATGGGTAATCCATTGCCATTCATATATTGTAGGTGCATGAATTCCACAAAGTAATCCAATATAGTCCAGTAGTCTATAATAGTAGTGGGTTATCCACATGACTGGCAATGTCAGAAGTTGTTGACTTAAGACTTTTACAGCCCAGCATATTAATCTGGCTTTACTTTTTATACCTCATTTTTATACTTTTCTGCTGGATGGCTAAGACCAAGATAAAGCAAGATCTATATAACAAGAAATGTAACTTTTGTATCTGATAAGGTCAGTCAAATTCCCTCAGGATCTATTCTGAAACCTTGTACTGCAGTTTGTAGATCTTTTGTCAGTGTCAGCCATATGGATGAGTCACAGCCATTGCTTGAGCAAATTGCTCTCTGTGAAAGCCTGAGAATGTTTCTCTCTATGTGACTGTCCTTAGGCACCCTCTACAATATCGTTCACTTTCCTCTGTGGCCTCATAATCTCCTTGATCAAAATAAAATTATTATACTTAATTCTCGTCAAATAGTCCTTCTTTGGGTCATAGAAATCTATAATTATCTCTTTCCTTATTCATCTTTATGGTCCATCCATAAATTCAATAAAAAGAAAAAAGAAAACGTGCTAAACAGTAATAACAATTATTATAAGCTCACTACTAAGATTTTTTTTTTTTTTGTCCTTTTAGACAGGGTCTCCCTATACAGTTCAGGCCGGTCATGAGCTCACTTTGTAGCCCAGGCTGATCTCAAATTCACAGTGCTGGGATTACAGGCATGCATCACAATGCCTGCTTTGGCACTAAGAATTTTTAAATGAAGTCAAATATATTTTGTAGAAAAATCTGATTTCTGTGAAACATTTTCTTGGGCCTATTAAAAAAATTCTATATAAAAATGTCACAGACCGGGCATAATGGTGTGCACCTATATTCCCAGTGCTTGGGAGGCTGAAAATAGAAGGATTACTACAAGTCCTATCTGTGTAGTGAGATCTTCTAATCCCTGCACATAAAAAGTCACTATTTTTCTAAAATTTAGAATATTAACTTTTGTAATCCTTGGTTGATTTGTTAAGAACATGATGCTGTAATTTTCAGGAAAAAACGGGTTCAAAATGACAAAATGCAATAAGATCCTCTTGGCAGCTCATCTTTTTATACTATATATAAAAACAAAGACGATTCTTCCCATGCATTTTCACTTTAAATATGTTAATGTCAATTCAAGCACCTTAAAGGTGGAGATCATTACTGTGTCACAGGCAATACTCTAGAAACTGGGACAAACAAAAAGTAGAATAGGAAGTGACAATCATTTTAAGAAGAAATAAAATTAGTAGAATCAAAATAATGACCTTTCTCATGATTGCTGAATCTACATTATAATGAGACAGAACTTGGTTTCAAGTGCAAATAGAACATATTATGTTTCTTTTCTTTTCTTGTAACATCCTAAGTCTTGTTACAAATCCAAACACTTACATATATCTTTCAAGGACTATGAGTTTTATGGATTACTAATACTACAGTTCAATGAAAAATTATTATAATGGCGATACAAAGTAAAGGCCCATGATTTATTTTTTTTCTTTTAACGAGTTTACTTTTTATTAAATATAAAAGTTAAAAACAAAAAAAATGATGGAGTATATGCCAAAGACTTAATATTCTACTACTCTAAATTCAGAAAATATGTTGCTTTCACGAACAGATACATGAAATAAAATAATACCATAGCAGAAGGGTGTTGTATCTGTGTTTAAAGAAGGGGTTGTTGGCAAACACCACAGCTCACTTCTGCTGCAATGTACACAACTGATATATGCAGCACAGAAAGCTGGCACCAAGGGCTTACAACCTTAATTTGCCTGCAAGAAGGAACAGAGATTTACCTTCAGAGCACGTTCTTGATTGTTTTCAGCAGTCAGATGTCTCATGTTGTTTGCTGAAGTCTGGTTCTGCTCTTTCAGATGATGAAGCTCCTGCTCTAGCCGTTTGCACTGCCACAGGGGAAGAATCCCATTAAGTAAAGGAGTTCGCACATTTTTTTCACCAAGCCATATGAATTAATGTAAATAATATCACTGTATTCTCTAAAACACAAGTTTTTTTTTCCCCCCAAACCAGAAAGGTAAGTAAAAGTAATACTGACTACAAACAAAATAACATTGTTTATAGTACTGGCTTATTCAATTAAAATTTTTAGTTTTTCTTATTAAGCTAAATATACCATAAAATACCTCTTTAAAAACTAAGAATCAACTGTTTTCAAATTTCTCTTTATTAACCAAATTCTATCTAGTTCTTCATTGAAAAGAAACATGCTTTATAAATTCAAAATGAATTCTAATTAAGCTATAATATTATACTCTATGAAGAATTATTATTTTTCAAATAAAGGTACTCATAAAAATATAAAGAGATAGTATTTTACACAATAACTATATAGGATATAAAGTAATATACTGCAATATAGAACATATGAAAATATGTTAAAGATTAAAGAAATAAAGTATTAAACACATGCATCAGTAAAAAGAAAAACCTTACCTTTTTATTTTTAATTATGGTATTTACATAACAACCAATTAAATACACATACTCATTCAACATCATATAAAGTTTTTCCTAGACTATTTAACAAATGCCTGGTAGTAAAAATAATCAAAAATTATTGGTTCCCAAGATACAATCAAGCTGCATCTACAACTCAAACTGGCATTTATTATTCTAACATTAATTTTTTATTTTATGTTTTCCATTAATTTCTTTTGATTCAGACCCTCAAAATATTATGCAGTTAATTTTAGTATTTTTCAATGTTGAGTAATATACATATATATTTAAAAAACACTTACTAGACTCCTGATATTGAAACAGGTCTATGAGTATACCACACCATGCATACAAAACATAATTATAAAAAACATACAAATGAAAGTAACTAGAAAAATCAAGACATTTCAAATTAACAGTAATATAATAGAAAATGTGTTAGAGCTAAATTCTGAAAATATGATATAGTACTGATTCTATGACCAACAAAATTACATCTATATAGGGCCAGCCAAATTGTTCAGCAGATTAAAGCACCTGCAAGCAGGCACAGAGGTCTGGGGTTCGAACCTCCAGGCCTGCTGTGCTGGCCCTGCCCCCAGGGCATGCTGAGATGGCAATTGAGACTGGGTGTAGTGGCACACACACTATAATCCCAGATCTTGGGAGGCTGTAAACAGGAGGATCACCGTGAGTCAGATCTATTAGTGAGACCCTGAATACCCTGTGGACCCTTCCCTAAAATACAAAAAAAAATTAATAAAATTACATCAACATGTCTAGTCTATCATGTGCTATGCATATACCACATGGTTCATGAGAGCTGTCTCATGTACCTTTGGTCTTTATTAAGATTTTTCTCTTTATTGAGGATTTCCATTCAACTGTGATTTCAATGATTTCCATTTAATTATATTTGTGTCCTTTTAAAACCCAAAACAATTAAAATATTTGGTCACATAATACAGACAAAAATCATGTGTCATGATTTTTTTATTAAATTTATGCTTTACATTTTAATCAATTTTAATAGAAAATTATTAGGTATCAATGGAATGACCAAGAGTTACCAATGATAATTTAAAGGTAAAGCTGATAATTTTTGACTACATATGCATGGCTCATGAAGCAGATATATAAATTGGTTTTCTTTGTATACATGGTTTAATAAGCCAAAACTGAAGAAAAAAGAACACAAAAGAAAACAAGCAAAATAATTCAATAATCAACAACTGGGATACCATCTTTTTAAAAAGTTTCTGCAGGTCAAAAGTATCATCAGCAGAGTAAAGAGAAAACTCATGAGCTAGGAAAAAATTATAGCCAACTGCCCTTCTGACAAAGGCCTTCTATCCAATTAAATACACATACTCATTCAACATCATATAAAGTTTTTTCTAGACTATTTAATAAATGCCTGGTAGTAAAAATAATCAAAAATTATTGGTTCCCAAGATACAATCAAGCTGCATCTACAACTCAAACTGGCATTTATTATTCTAACATTAATTTTTTTATGTTTTCCATTAATTTCTTGTTATATTAAAAATATTAAAAAATATCAGGCCCCCAAAATTCAAAGACCTAATCCAAAAATGGGCATCTAAGATGAATATACACTTCTCAGATGTAGAAATACAAATGGAAAATAGCTGCATGAAAAAATGTTCAACATCATTAGTCATTCAAGAAAAGCAAACTAAAACAACACTGAGATTCCATCTCACACCAGAAAGAATAGCTGTCACCAAGAAATCAACCAAGTGCTTGCTTTGGCAGCACATATACTAAAACTGGAATGACACAGAGAACATTAGCATGGCCTCTGTATAAGGATGACATGAAAATTCAGAAAGTGCTTCATAGTAAAAAAGAGTCAACCAATAACAAATGTTGGAGGGGCTGTGGGAGGAAAGGAATCCTTCTCCACTGCTGGTGGGAGTGCAGATTGGTACAACCACTGTGGAAATCAATATGGAGATATATTAAAAAGCTAGGATTGGAGGTTCCATTGAAGCCAGCGATTTCCCTCCTTGGTATTTTTCCAGCAGAACTGAAGACATACCACAGCAATTTATGTGCACTTATGTTTATGGTAGCATTGTTTGTCATAGCTAAACCTTGGAAGCAACCCAAATGCCCAACAACTGAGGAATGCATGAAGATGATGTGGCCTTTTTACACAATCGAGTATTACTCAGCTGGGCAAAATGGTTACCATATTTACAAGATTGAATCAAGACTCCTATATCTCATCAAGTATTTAACTTATTCCTTTCCTAAATATTCTATTTTCTTTCTTTCTCTTGCCTGATTTCTCTGGTTAAATGTTTCAACTACTGTATTTAACAAGAATGGTGACAGTGGAAATCTTTGTCTTGTTCCTGATTTTAGAAAGCTTATCTATTCTCCACTTAATTTAATGATGGCAGTAGATTTGTCATGTGGCTTTTATCAAGTTGAGATAAGTTTTCTATACCCATTTCTTCAGGGCCTTTCATGACTGGATGGTACATTGTTTCTGTACCTAGTGAGATGATTATGTGATTTTTGTCTTTTATGTGACGGAGTAAATTTACTGATTTGTGTACTTTTTTTTTGCATCCTTGGGCCATGAATGATGTTTGTGATGATGTGCTGCACACTATCTGCCATTGTCTTGTTGAAATTTTCTGCATCTGTGTTCGTTAAAAAGACGGGTCTGTACTTTCCTTATTCAGCTGAGTCCTTGCCTGGTATTTAAACCAAGGTAATGCTAACAAATGTTGGAGAGGCTGTGGGGAAAAAGGAACCGTTCTCCACTGCTGGTGGGAATGTAGACTGGTGCAACTGTTATGGAAATCAATATGGAGACTCCTTAGAAAAGTTGGTCTGGAAATCCCCTTTAAACCAGCTATTCCTCTACTGGGAATTTTCCCAGAGGATCTGAAAACATC